ACGCTGCCCCGCGCCGCTCGCGGGGTGCCTGGCCTTCCTGCCGGTTCTGGTGCGGCCTGGCCTGGGACTGAGGGGTCCCCTGAAGCCCACTTGGGTGGCCGTGTCGTGTAACGCCCAATTAACAGGTTCGTCTGTAACTGATGTGAAAGTCTGTGTTAGTGACATCGTTACTGCACAGAAGGTGAGAGGAATCATCGATCCAGAGGGGAGGGATTGTTCTAATGAAGAATGAGAGAAAGGGCAAGGGTTGCAGTAGCAAGCGAACGCCATACAGGAATACAAAATGCAACACTATGTGGGAGCAGGGTTCTTGAAAACAACAGTTTAGCCTATAATGCTTTGAAGTGAGGTCTCAGACTTTCTCTTGGGTATTTACTTTAGTGGACCCAGCAGGACTGTTTAACAGAGTGGAACTGGCTGTAGGACTTTTTTGTGTGCTATGGCCTAAGGGCTGTCTTGGCTTCAGTGCTGAAAGTTACGGCAACAGAGCAACGGCGCTTACGGGAGATAATGCCTCTGTAGTAACTGCCACTAGGGAGCACCAGGAGAGGGAGAGAGTACCTCACTGACTTGGGTAGTTCTGAGTAAGTTCACAAATTTTACTTCTATTCTGTAGGGAGGCAAAGAAGCTAGGAGTTTTTCTGAAGTGTGTTTCGGAACTGAGCCAACTAGCACTGCCAAGGTTGCAGTAGTGTCATTTCCTCTGCTTTAACTGGAAGCGGCAAATAACGCCCTGCATTGTGTTACTGGAAGTAGCGAAGAACAGTGAATATTGTACGCTAAGACCAACCTTAGGCCCAGAGAAAAATTCTCTCGGACCTCGATACTTCTGTAATTCTTGCCCAATAAGTGGCAAATCATCCAAAGACATGTACGAAACTTCTGGACTAGGATCTCTTCAGGATTAGTTGCCAAACTGCATGCTGAATACTACGTGCAAACCTGGAGGGTGTTCTCATGCTGTGACATAGTGACTTCTTGTGAAGATTCAGTGTCTACATGAGTTGTAATCCAGAGATAACTGTGCTGCTGTGTTTTAGAGTCAATGTTGACTTTATATTCTGTCCTGTTTGGACTGTGTGGACTCCTAATGGGGCAGCTGGTGCTGTTTGCTGGTGGAAGAAACAGTAAACCCACTGTACCTGCTATACGTCCTCATAAGGCTGCTGTGGGAAAAGTGAAGACCATCTGAGTTGTGACTTGACTCTTGAGCTTTAACTGAGCTCCACACGGACCATGGAATGTATTTCTCTATTTGTGTTCAAATCATGGATTATCAGGCCTCCATGGTAAAAATGTCAGGCTCTGGAAAAAGGCCTCTTTTCTGATAGAATTTCTGACAACTCTCTTCGGAAATCTGATGTAAGAAATTAGTATTATTGATGTAAGGAATATAGTGTCACAGTTGGATTAAAAAGGTAGGGGGAGAGAAAAGGTGATGGAACTTGAGTGTACCAGAGGGAACTTCATATAAATTTAGTAGATCTGACCTGCACTCTCCTTTGCTGTTTCTGCCCTTTTAGGAGAGACTAAGTTTCTGTGGAAGTTTTTCCATAAGCAGTTTCACACACACTGATATGTGTCCTCGGTAAAAAGTAAAGAGGGAAGTTGTTGGGTTTTTTTTTTCTTCTTTTCATGTCTGTGGAGCTATTAGAATAATTATCAGAGTGCTGTTTGCACTCTGCGAATAGTGGTAGAACATTTTGTCTGGTGCCTTTATGGACCAAATTAGAGTCAAAGAACAAAGCTTTTAGAAGCCTCCATGGAGAGTTTGTGCTGCTTGCTTACTGCTCAGTCTTCTTCCTCTTCTTCCTGAATAAGGCAGTGCAAGTGGAAAATACTCATTGTACAGATTCTCCTGTCTTTAACTTGTTTTACACCAAAAACTGTTTGACTGCTTTGTTTGTCTGGGCCCAAATAAAGTTGATGGGGATGTATGTCAAGCAGTTCTGGCTTGGGATTAATTGCACTCTGTCTGGTCGGTTGTTAGGTTCCTGTTGGTTTTGATGCTGGTTGTTCCCAGCATAGGGAAAAACAATGAATGTTTTTGATAATTTAGTATGAATAATTTTTGGTTATTTACATGAACAGTTCTAGCTGTGAGTTTTCAGAGAGTGAGAACACCTTTGTGCTCCATGCTTGGGGATTCATGAGTTTCTTGAACTAGTTGATTCATTGGTTGGATGGTTGGTTTGTTCTTGGGGGGAGGGGGGGGTGGGGGTGGGTTTTTTTTGAAAGATGTGATGGTCATCATGTGATCCAGGTTTAATGGTGGTTTCTGGAAAGTATCTTAAGCATTTTACACCCAGAGCCTGAAGTGTATAGGTAGTTGGTGCCTTGTCACCTTTAATTTGAAACTGCTATCTGGACAGTATTGCTGAAAGCGCGGTGAAAGATTTTCGGTGCTGTCATCTATCCTGGGACTAGCAAGGCTGTCAACGCTCGTTTGACTGAGGCAGCTGAGCGTTTTTGCAAATATGCAAGCTGTTGCATGCACAAGTGTCCAGCTGTTGAAATAGTAAACTCTGCCTTTTTTTTTGTTTTTTTTTTGAAGGAGGGTGGGGGGAAAGGGAAGGGAATCCCTGTTCCTGGCTCAATAAACAACAAAACAAATAACTTGTAGTTGACATTTTCCTTTCTTACGATAGTTAATGTTAGAGAATTGGTGGCTTGATGTTTTCCCTTACAATATTTCTCAATTTCATGTAAGTGAGAATCCTGTCCAAATGGTATTTCATTGGTGCATTTACCCCTTAGTGGTATCCTCTTGGGGGTGGGGGGAGTAGCTTCATGAGTGCTTCCAATTTCCTCGCACCCTTCCTAGCATACAGTGGAGAGGGCCTTGACTTCAAGGCGGTGACTTGACTCTTCCGTTGCTTTACCTTTTTGAGGCATTAATTTTTTCAATTATTTGGTTTTGTATTTGACTGTTTCTCTTAGGAGAACATTTTGTTTCCTGCTCAGTTTGTAACTGGCTAGAATGTTCCAAAGTCAGCAGTCTAGAGCCCTGGGTGAGGAGTTTGGGTCGTGCTTTAAGTCACTACCACTGCTCTTAGGGACAAAAAACCTTTAGAACTTGGAGTCCTGCCTGTCCCATGCTGGAGAGCACAAGAACCTTGATGAGAATCCTACCAGAATGCAATTCTGCTTCTTGGAAATTAAGGTAAATGTTTCCCTCCTCTGTCCACTGTCACTTGGTTTTTTTAGGTTTTTTTTGTGTTTTTTTCCTCTCTAATAGTTTGCACCTCAGTCCTGTCAACTTTGTTTAAGAAAAAAAAATCGCCTTATTTCATAATGTTAATATACATGAGAAGATAACATTTATCTTAATCGTTTCCTGTGCTACAGATGCAATGGATCAGCTTGAGCAGAGGGTAAATGAATTTTTTATGAATGCGAAGAAAAACAAACCTGAATGGAGAGAAGAACAAATGACATCAATCAAAAAAGTAAGAATACCAGAGGAGTGGGTCACATTTTTCTTTTGCAAACAAAGATAACCTTAGGAAAAAATAGCTTATGATTGATAGAGACTTAAGCGTTCAGAACTGTGACTTCCCTTGGGCTTTCACAGAGATGGATAGAACTACCTAGGAGGAAGAAAATGACTGAAAGGTTTCTTTGATCAAGCGTTTCTCTCAAGTTTTTCCTAGTATTTGCTAGCATTTTAAAAATTACGATCCCGAAATGGTGAGGAAACCAGGTACTAAATTTTCAGCTCAGACTTTTGGTTTCTGCTTGTGTGACTTGAAGCTGGGTAAGTTAATTGGCTTTCTTTTAGAGGATGTTTTTCAGGCTTAGCTTCAGCATTTCCTGTGATTCTGGCGATGTCCTTGTATATGTTGTACATATGGTATATGTAGCTTTAGGGAGGGAGCAATAAGAAGATGGATGTGTTTGGTTTTATCGTTCAACACTCGGGTATTGGTGGTAGTATTGTTAGCAAGGTAGTCCATCGTTGTGTCAGGAGAAACTCCTTTCTGGTCTCTTACACTTGCTACTTCAGCCTCTTATTTGGCCAAGGGTTTTTTTTGCTTAATTAATACAAATAGATTTCGGTATTTAAAAAAAGAAAAAGTCAAAGCTCTGGCTTGACAAGAGTGAATGAGAAATTTGCTTTTGACTTCAGTTGGACCAAAATATCAAGTAGTTTTTGCCTAAGCAAGATAATCTTCAGTGGATATTGAGAATAAAAAGGCACTTAAGCCTGTTTAATTCTAGAGTAAAAACACATGTAAACATAATTTAAAAATAAAAAAAAAATTGTCTGTGGATTTTGATTAGTTAGAGCAGATTTTAAAATTGGATTGCTTTAGTCAAATTATTTTAGAATACGCTTTTCAACTATGTAAATGTATTTTAAAGTAATTTGTGCATGATTAGCTTTATTTAACTACAGTGCTGGAATAGCCTCCCCTCACAGTACTGTTTAGCATCATTTGGAAGGGCAGAAGTATCTGCAATGGTCATAAAGATCTGTACAAAGTAAAAGACATCATCTCATTTTGAGTCCTTAACCTTATACTGTGTAATACAAAATAAGTCCAAGACTGTTTCTATTCCTGTAGCATTTCTTGGAGAAATCTAAATATCACTGTGGAAGGAAGTGTCCACATCTTGTAGTTTGGCTTTTTCTAAGTCACGAAAAATAAATGAATAGGTAATACATCTCTCATCTAAAATTCACAGAATCGCAGAATGGTAGGGGTTGGATGGGACCTCTGTGGGTCATCTAGTCCAACCCCCCTGCTGAAGTAGGGTCACCTAGAGCAGGCGGCACAGGACCGTGTCCAGACAGGTTTTGAATATCTCCAGAGAAGGAGAATCCACAGCCTCTTTGGGCAACATGTTCCAGTGCTCCGTCACCCTCAGAGGGAAGAAGTTCTTCCTCATGTTCAGACAGAACTTCCTGTGCTTCAGTTTGTGCCTGCTGCCCCTTGTCCTGTCTCTGGGCACCACTGAAAAGAGTCTGGCCCCATCCTCTTGATACCCACCCTTAAGATATTTGTAGGCATTTATGAGGTCCCCTCGCAGCCTTCTCTTCTTCAGGCTGAACAAGCCCAGCTCCCTCAGCCTTTCCTTGTAGCAGAGATGTTCCAGTCCTCTCATCATCCTTGTAGCCCTCCGCTGGACTCTCTCCAGTAGCTCCTCATCTTTCTTGAATTGGGGAG